TAGATCCTTGAATGTTTCAATAAGATCACTTCTCATTTTTCTATATTCCAAAAAGTATAGGCCCAAACTACTCAATCTCATAAGACAGTCCCTCCATACCTGGGATCAACCTCGTGAACCTTCTCTGGACTGCCACAAATGCCTGTATAAGGGGCCCCAACCTGCTCACAGTATTCTAGCTGTGGTCTGACTAGTCACCATGAGTCAGACCACTACTTCCACAGGCTGCTAATTTTCTGGAGGGATTCATGGCAAATGAACTTTTTTATAGAAGTGAACGATTCAGGCTATGGTGCTGATTACAAGTTCCTTTTTTGCTGCTACACCTGACAGTTAATTGCGTCCTGCACCACCTCGGGAAGTACCAAAGCACTTTGTGACTAATTTGCACGAAGCAAGTTCCAGCAAACAGCAATCAAACAACAACCAGTTAAATCTGTTTTTGTGATATTGGCTGAGGGACAAATGTTGGCCAGGACACCAAGGAGATCTTCCAAACCATTTTTTTTTTTTTAAATAGTGCTATAGGTTCTTTTACATTCACCTGCAGAATTCTCAGTTTGATATCTCAAAAGACTAGACCTCTAATAGTGCAGTACTGGACCAAAGTGTCATCTTAAATTTTTCACTCAGTTCTGTGGAACAAAAGCATAATTTTGTAGCCAGCAAACTCTAAATAAAACTTACTGAAATCAAAAGAAGAAAATAAAACAATCGCACGTTGATTCCTTCATCTGTTTGTTTTGTATGAGGCTATAAAATACTATACAAAAATGTAATCAATGCAAAACACAGGAATTCTACAAGAAACTGTTTAGTCATCTTTTTATTTCCTAGCAGTTACAATATGTTAACAGTTCCTGAAAAATGTCTAAACATGTTTGATTACACCTGGTTACTTTTTGAAAGAGATTATAAAATGTCCACCTGTTGCCATTTTACTTGGTGATCTTAAATTTTATTGTACAGCTAAAACATTCTCATCCAGTTATGTTATGACAATATGGAAAATTTGCCCAGGGGTATGTTCTGTCCACAAAAAGCAGAGCAAAAGAGCAATGGATCAATGGTTGTGTTGATTGGATGTCAGTCTTTTCAATCAGAGGACATTTCTGCTGGAGTTCCTCAGGATAGTATGTACAACCATCTTCGGCTGCTTTCTTGATTATCTTCCTTCCAACATAAGGTCAAAAGTGGGGGTGTTTTCTGATGATTGCACAATGTTCACCATTAAGCATGACAACTATGATACCGAAGTTATCTACGTTAAAATGCAGCAAAATCTGGACAAGGTCTAGGCTTGGAATAAGAAGTAGCAAGTGCAATGGTATTTCCAACAAGAGGGATCTAACCATTGCCATTTAATGTTCAATAGCATTACCATTACTGAATCCCTGCCATCATGCTGGGGGTTACCAAAAGCCAGAAACTAAATTGGAACATTCATATAAATATTGTGTCTACAAGAGCAAGTCAGAGGTTACAAATTCTGCACTGCCTAATTCACCTCCTGTATCTCCAGCACCTACAAGATAAGTCAGAAGTGTAATGAAATAGTCTCCACTTGCCTGGATAAATGCAGCTGTAACAACACTCAAGAATCTTAATATCATCAAAGACAAGGCAGTCTGCTTGTTTGGAACCCCGCCTACCAACATCAAAATACATTCCCCTCAGCATTGGCACATAGAGCAGCGGGGTGTTCCATCTATTAGATACAGGCAATAACTCACCAAGCCTCCTTCAACAGCATCTTCCAAACCCTCAATGTCCACCAATCAAAAGGGTAAGGGCAGCACCATAACTTGTGGAGTGCCACCGGGATCAATATTGGAACAACAATTATTTATAACAGATATTAATGAGGAAAGTGCATGTGCTGTAGCTAAGTTTACAGCTGAGGAAAACAGATGGGAAGGCAACTGGTGAGGATGACACAAAGAGTCTGCAGAGGGATACGGACAGGTTAAGCGAGTGGGCCAAAACTTGGCAGATGGAATACAATGTGGAAAAATATGAGGTTATGCACTTTGGCAGGAGGAATAGCGGAGCTGAATATTATTTAATGAACAAAGACTGCAGAAAGTTACATTACAAGGAGATTTGACAGCCCTTGTCCATGAATCACAAAAAAACTAGCATCCAAATCCAGCAGGTAATACTGAGACAATCGCATGTTGGCCTTTATTTTAAACAGATTGAAGTATAAAATGGGGAAGTTTTGCTAAAACTATACGGGGCTCTAGTCAGACCACAGGTGGAATACTGTAAACAGTTCTGGGCACCTTACCAAAGGGAAGATATATTGGTATCGGAGGTAGTTCAGAGAAGATGCATTCAGCCAATTTCAGATATGGAAGGGCTACTTTATGAGGAGAGGTTGAGCCTGTACTCTTTGGAATTTAGAAGAATGCAAGGTGCCCTTATTGAAACATATAAGATTTATAAAGGTCCTGACAAGATAGATACAGAAAGGTTGCTCCCCTTTGTAGGATAGTCTAGGACCAGACAGCATAATTGCAGAGGAAGGGTTGCACATTTAAGACAGAGATGAGGAGGAATTTCTACTCTCAAAGGGTGATGTATCTGTGGAATTCTTTACCACAGAGGGCTGGGTCATTAAGTAATCATTAAAGGAATACAGGACTGTGGGGAATTACAGGAAAGTGTAGATAAGGATTATAAAGATCAGCCACAATCTAATTGAATGGCAAAGCAGAGTCATTGCTGCGAATGGCCTACTTTTGCTCCTACACCTTAGAGTCTTGTCAGAGCTTGGGAATTCCACCACCATCTCCAAGTCACATACCATCTGATGTGGAACTATGATGCAATTCTTTCAGTGTTGCTGGGTCAAAATCCTGAAGCTCCCTTCCTAACAGCACTGTGGGTGTGTCTATGCCCGAAAGAGGTTCAAGAAAGCATGACTTTCTCCGGGACAAATAGGGATGAGCAATAATGGCTGTACTAGCAAACAATGATCATACCCCATGAATTAATTATGCAAAAAAACTCAACATACTGTCACAAGTATATAACTACACATTCTAAAAGCAGAACTCATTGAAAGTCCGATTTTTAAAAAGTGTTCAAAATAATCACAAAATATACTGATTTTGATTGCAAAGAGGCTGTTCTGTACATTTTCTGATTTTTTTTAACCCCAAATATATTACAAATATGGACTCAGCTCGCTATCCGTAGAAAATAACCCCCAGCAAGACGGTTTGATATTTTACTGTCACTAAAAGTTACCAAAGATCACAGTGAAAGTAAGGAATGCTCTGCAGGTTCTTTTGAACAATGCAGAGATTTCTGTTATGAGTGAAATAAATTTCTAACATCAGGATAAGGGGAAGTTTGAGTCCATGTTTTCCTCATGGTGAAACAGCCAAGAGTAAAAAGTTTCTTTGAGATACAAGTGAATCAACTAGTACTTTCAAAACAATAAGCCATATTTTACATTATACCGCCCTCATGCAAATCAAAATACCATACTGGAGATTTCCTCAGTTGTTGTTTTAGTATGCTTGAAGGTCAGGGTGCCAATCAATCTGTATGTTAATTTTGATATATATATATGAAATACATTATCGTGATAGTGACAATATCATTCAGCATTACAGCCTCTGAATATACAATCTCTGTTGGCCGACCAAACTTAAAAGGTAGAGTTGCCACATTGTTACATTTTTCCAACATCATTCATCCAAAACGTATATTTCAAAAAATCCAATTTGCATCCGACAGAGTTTTCACAATCTTTCACTGCTTTAAAAAACATCTTGAAAGCCAGTTCCCACCCATAAATTCAACCGCACCACCGATCAAATTAATAAGCATTGCAAGTTTTTGCCAATTGAGCCCATTTGAGGCTTCTTAAATTCAGTTTCAGTACAAGATACAAACGATTTACTAAGAAACTGATGTACACCCACAGAACTCTTTTTTTCAATTTTTTAAAAGTAATTTTCAGATATTTAAAACCAGCTTGGTTTACAGTCATTCATTTACACAATTTTCTGAAAAACTCATTTATGTTCAAACCAGCTATATATGTAACATTGCACCAGATTATCATTCTCAAATGGATCAATAAATATATATGCATTGGTTCATGGAAGATTTCACGTTTGTGATTATGCAAATAAATGTGAACTGAAACTTAAAACTTGCCCAGGAAAACAGTACCATTTCAAGCACAATTTGTGCCCAGATTACCAACTGTGTTCAATGGAGAAACTCTATCTCTCAGAATCTATACTGTATTCTGAATTAACATTCTCCGGCCTAAGAAGTATCCGGTTTTAGATGTGCAAAGATGCCATGTAATGAATACACCGTGTAACAGCAGTATTAATTCGTAATGTCGTGTGAAAAGGAGAGATTTATTTAGCAGACACATGTTAAAGCTGAAACCCATATTAGATGTGTCAATGTCTAAAACTAGTCACTGTGCGCATTGTATTGCTATGTTCCTATCTATATTTAGAATGAATCAAACTTCCACAGTGGTCTAGAATGACACTCCAAGAATTACTAAAATGCATTTTAACATTGAAACAAACCACGGGGTGGGGCAAAACAAGAGTCAACGTAGTGCAGACCCGCACAGAATCCTAGATGAGATGCTCTGGATTTGCAACTGGTTCGTCGCCGGACTGGAACAAACAAAATAGGCATTTCCTTTTGAAGTGCAACAAACCTGAAACACACCAGATTGCTTCACTACACCGTGCGAGTGCATCCCAGTAATTGTAGTAACTCCATTCGAATTTTCCAAGACAAACCAACCCAGCCAATGTTGGCAGAAGAATAAAGGCCAAATAATCACTGTACGAATTTGGCAGTAATATTTAGACAGTAGAAGCATTTATTCTTGTAAATACGGTACTACTGCTGCAGACGCAAATATTCCAGTACAGATATTAAAATTAAAGCTGTATTATCTGTAAAATGAAAATCGCATCAATAATGGTCCTAAACAAAAGTCTACTCACCACTAGTACTCATTTCGATTCGATGTATTGAGATCCCAAATTGACACAACTTACTTATTGCTTAACCCTGCGGATAGGGGTGTTACACGCAGATCACAACCTGTTGTTACCCAATGCGCAAAAACAGCACGCGCATAAATATATAAATTAAAATAAAAGAAGCCAGCGTTTGAAAATAGTTTCGAATTAAAACTGTTGGAACCGATTTTTCTTTTTTTAAAATAAACTGTCTCTCCCGGATTGCGCTTGTCGTCCTGCAGGAAAGAGTAGCTGCTGAAGGATGAGTGTGAGCCGCTGTCACTCAGTGGTAATGCGGTGCTGGTCCTCGCGCTCTCCTCCTGGGCTCTGCCAGTCCCTGAGCTCGAGCCGCAGACACCGCCGCAGCGCGAGCTCAGGCTCGGCGCGCGCGTCCGCGCACGCGCAGCAGCCGCTGCTGCTCCTCGACGGGACAAGTCGCGCGGAATTCAAGAGCCCCGTTGGCGCGCGACCCAGTCAACCCTGAAGACTGTGTGTGTTTGTTGCAAATTCTGGGTTTGCACAGACAGAACCGCAAGACTAGATTTTGGGAGCGAATACAACCGGAGATGAAGGAAGCGTTTACGTGAGTGAGGTGCATGCAAACCAGTCGGGAAAAAAAACCAACTATAAAAGAATTCTGAACTCTTAATTATGGGTGTCTTTAATTCAAACTTGAATGAAGACTCAACTTGCTGTCTGGTGTAGTATTTGTAATGTTTCTTTTCTTTTCCAGAAAACAAACAGTGTTTCAATAAATTACTCTGTTCACCCATAACAGTGTGGAGCTGGAGGAACACAGCAGGGCAGGCAGCATCAGAAATTTCTGAAGAAGTGTCCCGTTCCTAAACATCAGTTTTTCCTGCTCCTCTGATGCTGCCTAGCCCGCTGTGTTCCTCCAGCTCCACACTGTGTTATCTCTGATTCCAGCATCGGCAGTTCTCACTGTCTTTGACTGTTCACCCAGATGTTTTCCATCCGAATGGAACCGGTGGCCTTTATTTGAGTTAAAAAAAAACTGCCTCACCCATCTATTAAACCGAAACATAAAAAAGACTTGTATTTGTATAACACTTTTCGTCACCACAAGACGTCTCAAAACATCTTTGTCAATTAAAGTGAAGTCACTCTAACGTGCGAAACGTGAAAGCCAGATTGCATGCAGCAAACCCTCACAAATTGTGATGTTATTTGAGTAACAAATATTGGTCAAGACACCAAAAGATGACGCATCTGCTCTTCTAAATAATGCCAGGGAATCTCTCAAATCCACCGCGAGGAAGATGATGGGACCTCAATTTAATGTCTCATCTGAAAGAGCATCTCCAACGTTGCGACCGTCTTCAGTACTGCATGGAATGTCTGTCTTCAAATTTGTGCTCGAGTGTGATTCGACACTAGGACTTCCTAATTTGAAGATGAAAATATTAATAATTAAGCCACAGCTGACACACAACGACAGAATACCAGATCTGTAGGTAAAAAAAGGAAAATTGATAGGATATCTGGTGGTGTATGATTTTAAGTGGGGACTCCAAAGTCATTTTACATCATGGTAGCAAATACCAATACTCGAAATGCTGAGATTACGGCTAGCACGCAGTCTTGAGAAAGTAATTTTGTATCTTTCTTTTATTGAATCTAAAGTTAAACTATTTTGTAACAATTGGTAGTTAATGTCTACAGACTTCAAACTTCGTCCAATTCTCAAAATTGATGCAGGAGCTGGTGGCAACTTATTGCCAGTATGTATTTATAAAATATTTCACACACCTCAAAAGGCCAACAAATCATCTTAATAAAATCATGAGAACGACCAGGAGGGTAAAAGGTGATTCAACTGGAGCTTGGTCATTTCTAATTTAACATTTGCCACATTTTCATCGAAAAATATTCCTTTCATGTAAATTGACAGTGATATACTGGCCTGAGAATGAGAAGATCATAAAATCACAAAACTTTATGTTCTCAAAGAGTTGAATTTGCTGCAGAACTTTTTTTTATTACCCTAGCCTAAAAGTGACTGTAAACTTCAAAAGACAGATTATATTTTTGGAAATAAAATGGAGTGTTAGATTATGAAATGAAATGGAAAACTTTGTCATTGTACTGATAGATATTGAGCACTTTATAACTGGAGGCAATATTTTCCATTGAACTGTGGGGACCATTTCACATTTCTGTGTGAACTAACAGTGAAAGATTTATGTTCAGAATATACTAGTTTCATTTTCGCAAGAATGATATTCCAATCGTTTACATAATAAATGAATTGTAATATTGACATTTAGCTACCTGAATAACATAATATCTGTGAAATGAAACAAAAGTGCGGATGCTAGAAATCTGAAATAAAAGTGATAAAATGCTGGAAATTCACAGCTGGTCAGGCAACATTTGTGGTGGGAACAAACAAGTTATAACTGTGAATCCTTTCTCACTTGTCCATGTTCACTGGACCTTCAGAATATGTTTAGCATTTTCTATTGTTCTTCACATTGTCATGTTTTGCTAGTTTTACAATTATGTCTATTATGTAAGTACTGAAAATATATTCCTATATGTTTTTGTACATAAACAATCTGCTACTATGATTTCAAGTTAGAAAACACAGTGGGGGTAATTTTTAGGGTTGCAATGTCTGCAGTACAAACCCAGAACTTCTGATGAGAGCTGCTGATCATTAGCATTCCGTGCCAATAGTGCAGCCTCATAAAATTATCTATACATTGCATAGAATTTACATCATTGAAACATTTGGCTCAACCAGTCAATGTCAGCACTTACTCACCAAGCAGGCAAATAGTTCCCAAATCTTTTCAACTATTTTCCTTCATCAACTAATCCAATTTAATTTTGAGTGTTGACATTGTTCAGCCTCAACCACAAGCCCTGCACATTGTCACAATATTTCTAAAAATGTCAGTCTTTCCCTCTTCTAAATCCCTTACATTTAATGACGTATCAAAAGTCCTTTATATATCATCCTTCAGTTTGCTTCTAATTATATTTTCTCATGCTTCTGTGAATATTTATGCAGATTAATACAGCTGTGGTTTTCAGAGCAGAATACAAGCATCAATGTGACAGAGCAGTAAAGTTTGTAATTTAGAGCACCTGAATCTTAATTAATAAGCATAAGTGGGGACAATCTGGCAAGGAGGTCAGTATGAATTCTGAATTCTAATCTTCAAAATTAGTACCCTGCAAACTACTGTTCCAATGAATGAGAGCTCATGCATGAATGTTAACTCTTCGATTTGCATATTACCTCACAGTAATAGTTAGGGCTGAGTTGGTAGTTTTTGGTAGCTAGGAATGCAGTGTTGGGAAAATTCTAGGATCCCACAAACCCAATTTGAGGGTAAAAGCACTGGATTTTCATACCAGGTGAGAGGGTGACAGTGAGGCTAAGTGCTTAGGGAAAGAGTTTGAAAGCAGCTGTAGATGCTGCTGGGTGCACAGGCAGGTTGTAGGAAAGGGGGCATTTGACACTTTATCCTATATGTTAAAAAAGATAAACCAGAAACAGTCTCCAATAATCACCAGGCCCCCATCTACCCCCACAGCACCACATACCTTCTATGCTAATCTATGCCCTGTAACACGACTCACATGGGCCTTTATAACTTTTATATCAACTTAGCACTAAAGCATGCCAACCATGATTTGAATCCAACACCTTTTGCCCTTACAATCTCTATGCCAACTCACCCAGTACCATAGTCAGACACCAGAACCCATAATAAGGTAAAGTTCTAATAAATGTTTTTTTTTTAATTTAAAAACTCCTTTGATTAAAAAACACTGCATTTAATATGTTTAATTCAACCATATTATCCCTTATAAAAATAAGCATCTATATTTACAATCATACTTCAAAGACTGCATAACTTGTTGGAGCTGTTAAACAAACTACTTGCTGCCAGGCACCGTAATAAAATAGATTGTGAAATCAGCAATGCAACCCACAAGGCTATGTCCACACACAGTAACAAATAAGAAGCACTTCTTTTAAAAACTGCAAATAGTTTGCTTTTGAAAGTTTAAAGCCAGGGACTTAAATTCCTAATGACTTGACAAGTCCAATAACAGTTTTCTCAGTTCTACCAACAGTTCCCTCCACAGTGTAATAGCTCCCATGACATCTTGACGGTTCCGATGAGTATATTCATATCATACACACGTTCAAGTCCATTTTGAACAATTCCAAGGGGTATTTATTTGCTTCCATATGGCATCTTATCTCCCAAAGACCAGAAGACATTGGAGCAGAATGAGCTCAATGAGGTCACGGCTGATCCGATAATCCTCAACTCTACTTTATTGTCTTTTCTGTACAACCTTCAACTCTCTTTCTGATTAAAAATCTGTCTATCTCAGCAGTGAATAAACATAATGAACCTCCTTCAAAACCGCTTTGCGGTAAAGAATTCATTAGATTCATTACCCCCTAAGAGAAGAAATTCTTCCTTACCTCTTTCCAAACACTGTGACTTATTCTAAGATTGTGCCTTTTGGAATGGTACTTTCTCATCAGGGAAAACAACCACTCTGTTTCCACCTTGTCAAGTCCCCTAAGAATCTTGTATACTTCAATAAGGCCATTGCTCATTCTTCTAAATTCCAATGAATACAAACGCAAACTACACAACCTGTCCTCATGATGTGGTCCCTCCTTACATGCCTAGTGAACCCCCTTTGAACTGCCTCCAATACCAGTATATATTTTCTTGGAATTGCTCTTAGCAGTCTAGGTGTGGTCTGACCAGTGACTTGTATTATTTTAACAAGATTTCACTATTTTTATAGTCCATCTTCTTTGAAATAAAAGTCAACATACCATTTGCCTTCCCTATCACCCATGATCTTATCTTTCCCAAATGTGTCTCTGGATCTAGCACAAGAGTACTGTACCTCTTCAAGGGACTGTGTCAAGTTTAGATCTTGTGATGATAATTCTAAAGTCCACAGTCGAGTTTCAAACATCATCCAGCAATATTGGATCTAACTGAAGGTAACTGCACTTTACTATGTGTATTTGACTCTGTGAAGCACCAAGGTGCAACATAGATCTCTCCATTAGACTC